TGGACTGTGTTGCGGGAAATCTTATTGATTATTGTCAAAAAGGCTTTCAAACTCTTCTTATACTCTTTTATGATGGTAATTATTGTAAACAGCGCCGCTCCCCTAATCGATATTGTCGAAGAATAACTCGCGACGGTGTTTTTATCAATATTGCGAGGGCTTCCGAAGAATCTTTATTCAAAAAGTTCTCTGTTCCGAAAGCTTGTTATGCCGAAACTCGTATTTTTGAAGGTTCGTTATGACGATAGTCCCTTTTGCCGAAGATTTTGTTATTCCGAAATTGCTCAATTTCAAACGATGGTATTGAAAAAGGTGCTATTACTCCAAAGTCTGGAAATTGGTCGTTGAATTACTTTGTTGAGACAGAATTGCATTATTTTTGGAGGGTTGATTTCCACTCTAAAGTGAGCCAGTCTCTAACATGATTTGCGACTAAAAGTTCAATTCCGCTCTTGTCCTGCATATTGATAGAGCAGTGTCCACCTTGTTCAAGTTCAAGTTCAGGTTTAATTCCCATTTTCATTAAGAAAAATACAAATTATATACAATCAATAAACGACAAAAACATATTACAAAGTATAAACAAGTACATACACTGTCGCTCATAACGGTGGAATATTTTTGTTTTATCCCAACTAATGGAATTATTTTTAAAATATTTTAAAAGTAATAGATCTAAATAAAAGTATACATTCTCAGATTTTATTGAATAATAATTTGCCAATGTGTGTTTTGCGTGACTGCTAAAGCATGTATATGCTACTATGCTTATCAACTAGGGGACCTATGCCCTTAAGTCATAAATGACAGTAATGATGATAAATGCCCAACAAAAGGGCACTAATAGAGCACATCGACACGGTGTTAATCCTGGGGCCTCACAGTTACGAGGCCATTGCTTTGTCAATGAACCATGACTGTACGCAGCGGGGGCTAGGGTAGGGGGCAGTTTCCATAAATTAAAAAAAAACAGAAAATGCAATAAATTTTCAATAATTTATTGCATTCTACCCCGGTCCCCAACATAAACAAAATCTTCTGTGTGCCCATGCTTTGAGCCATAATGCATGGCCGTCTAGAGGATTTTTTTATGTTGGGGACCCGGGTAAAATGCAATAAATTATTGAAAATTTATTGCATTTTCTTTTCTTTTTTTAAATTATGGAAACTGCCCCCTACCCTAGCCCCCGCTGCGTACAGTCATGGTTCAGTGACAAAGCAATGGCCTCGTAACTGTGAGGCACCAGGATCAACACCGTGTCGATGTGCTATATTATTGCCCTTTTGTGGGGCATTAATCCTCATTACTGTCATTTATGACTTAAGGGCATAGGTCCCCTAGTTGATAAGCATAGTAGCATATACATGCTTTAGCAGTCACGCAAAACACACATTGGCAAATTATTATTTAATAACATCTGAGAATGTATACTATTATCTAGATCTATTACTTTAAAATTATTTTAAAAATAATTCCATAAATTGGGATTTAATTTTTTTTTTCACCTTTATGAGCGACAGTGTATCAAAGTGTTCATGTTATGTTTCTTTGCAAAACATAACATATTATTCTCAATGAAGCTACAAGATAGGTGATGATATAACCATATCATACAAATAATCTAAATCAAGAAGAAAAATGAAAAGGATGCTTTCTATTTTTATGTCCAGTGAAAATGGAGGCTCCACTAAAGAGCATGGCTTGAAGAGTGTGGACCTCTCAACAAATACTGCTGAAACTAATTATCGCAATCGGTCAGTGAAGGTTTGAGCAAAAAAGGGTTAAAATAAGAGAGTTGTGTATTGTATAAAGTGCGCTCAGTCAAACATACATTGGAAATTCATAACTCTTATTTTTTAATCGGATATTGCTCGAACTCTCACTAATTTGTCTCTCTCGCTTTTTCTGCTTTTATTAAATCTAACTCGATATTAGGGTGGACTTTCCCTTTAAAGATAAAGAATAGTTATGGTCATGCGATTGTATTGTGAAAGAAACGTTGTGGAATCGATCAGAAAAGGTTGATCATCTAGCATATAAGTATTGGTGTGCACTGCAAGGTTCTGGAATCATCAAAATGATAAGATATCTGGCCCAGTCTTCGTAAAGTTACAAGCACTGTACACAGAAAGATGTATATGGGACTACGCACACGTGCGTTTATCTCTCACACACCAATAGATAAACTAATTTACCAAATATACCAATTAGTAGGCGGTTTCCCAGCAAAAATGTTATCATCATGTATTAGTCAAAACATACTCTTTCACATGATTGGTAATAAGAGCTTCCATTTCATTTTTTTAAATTGGGGTGTTTCCAATACTGGTCTTTACTTTTAATAAAGAGTAGGTACATACTGCATGTAATTATACCTTGCTTTCAGACGGCTCAAAGAACATACTTGTACATCTCATGCCGTGATTAGAGACATGTGGGGGCCATGATGGTGATCAAGATTTTGTTTATAGAGTTGCCATGGTTGCCATCATTGTCTGAAAATGTAAATGTAATGAAAAGTATAGGTTGCACTTGTTATGGTTTGATATCGTTATATCAAAGGCAGTATGTCCAACGTGCAGACTTGTGCAAACGTTATAAAACTTGACGGATGTTTACAATGTCTCCTCCCGATATCGTGTGTGAAATTGTATAGTCATAGGTTTTAGAACTTTTGTGTAAAAAATGAAAATCTAGCACTGTTTTCATAAAAAATCCCCTTCAATTAACCACTGAATTCATGGAACTCTAGTTTTTAGGCCTGTAAAAGTTATCATCATTTTGTGCTTCCTGCTGCTGCTGTTGCTGTGGTAGTTAATTGTAGTGAATATACTTTATATTTATATTAATTGGGAGTGTTGTAGATTAAGTTTGTGACTTTTAGCAAGAGTAAGAATTTCTTATCCTTTTAGTGATATTCAAGTTTGCACCTTTTCTACGCTTAGATACCGTTTCTATCAAAATATATTTCACCAGTACTATATTCACCGTTGTTTCTCAAACTAATTTTAAATACACGTTTATATGAATTACAACTATGTCCCATTTGCAGGCCAAAAAAATGAAAAGGTTAAATTCCAACGGCATTTGAAAGATAATACTAATTTAGAACTTCCCTGAAAAAAGGTGGCTTGAAAATGTCTTAAAGTGGGAAAAATAACGACTATTAGTTGTCGAATCGACTTAAGAGCTATAGAGGCAGTAAGTAATAGATCTGATTTTCAAACCATTGTACCGAATGGTTGTACGTTTTATGCTGCGCAAAGATTCAATCACTTTAATGTTGACTATTACAAGAAGTGGGTTATTGATGTAGACAAATGCCCATGTACCCTTTAGTGTCTGACAGTGAAGTCTAGCAAGTAAACGGGTTTCCCTGCATAATTTGAATACTAGGACACTGCTAACATTTTAATTTCACAGATAGGACATACATGACATATTCATAATTCTTGCAAAGTTCTACAGAATTTGATGTTAGCTGCAAAAGGGACATAGTATCTTTAATAAAACACACATTAAACAATGAAAATTACGTCTGCATGCTGTTATTTTGGAGTGACAATGAATCCTGCTCCTGGGATTGAGTGAGAAAGATATAGAGATGGGAATGGGGTAACAGGGGGAAGGAAACAACCGGTTAGATAAAGTTGGGAGATGCACATAAATTAAGAGAGGATAGGAGTAGGCTGTTAATAGTGGAATACATTTTGGAGATAAAATAAAGGAGAATGAAAAAAGGAAATGATAGAGAATTACAAAAGCGAGGAAAAATGGGAATAGATAGATAGAGAGAGAGAGAGAGAGAGAGAGAGAGAGAGGGGGGAGATAGAGAGAGAGAGAGAGAGAGTGAGAGAGAGGGAGGGGGAGGGACACGAAATCGTCATCGATGGGAATAAAGTGAATGCTAAAGGGGAGAAAGGTATGAGAAAGAAGATGAATTAAAAGAAAACGAAAAAGAAGAAAGAACGAACCTTACCAGAGATAGCGATAATAAGAGAGAGCGAGAGAGAGAGAGAGAGAGGGGGGGGGGTGATCATGCAGATCAATACGAGTAAGGAAAAACATGACAAAGAGGGCGTGCGTCAAGTATTCGCAACCAAAGGATTGATCCCTTACGCTAGGTTTTGAATCTTCAACTGAAATAGATACTGCACAACATAATAATTTAGATGTCAGAGTGTAGGCTATTCGCTTTACGTCTATTTCGCAATTGTCAAAATGAGGCAGAGGAAATCTTTATGTCATGTTAAGATACAAAAATATAAATGTTTAATAATACTATAAATCTGCAGAAATGCGGCCAGAAATATCCACTACCATAATCTTCTACCAAATGCAAATGATATAGGGGAGGGGTGTGGCAAATGAAATGGCAGCTACAACGCCGACCCCCGTTAGTCTCTGTGACATTTATATATCTCGTACGTAATTATATTAACACATCAGGCAGCAGCACTAATAGGTCATGACAAATATACACGATGAACCAACACGAGGAAAGGAGTAATATTTTAAAAGCGCGGTCTCTTAACATACAGTTTAGAAAAAAAATTATTGACACTCATTGTTACATGCGATACCAAATACGCAGCGCATCTTCTTCAAGTCATTGACTCTATGGATATTTTCTCACTTTTAGTGTAGGGTCTGCTGTATAGACTAGTAAGCCCAGCGAGTGGTTATTAGTTTTGAGGGAACGCCCCCGCGCGGTCTCCGCATGCGCAAATCTCCGCCCCGACCCGAAACCAGCAGCTCTCGTTTGCGATCGAAATAGAGGCAGGTATGTACATTTAATGGATAGCTAGGGCATGTGAATGCATAGAGGGTGCATAGTAGCCCTGTTTCGTGTATCATTATTGACACTTCACACTTTTTTTGTATTTTGCTTCAGTCTCAACACTTATTTTGATTAAGTCTTAACGGGCGTGTTGTTACTTCAAATTGATGTTCGTCTCTGATAGGTAATAAACGTCAAGGTTTAATTTGCATTTTTCCTTTTATCTGTCATTGGGAAATAGGCCAGGGACATCAACATCTATTGCCGCTTTGATTCCGGCCGGTTGGAGCCCCATACACCGATAACCATCTACGGGAAAAGGACGGGTCTCATATATTTTCGTTTTCTCCTTTGAGGGTAAGTCCGTTTTATAAATGTACGAATATGTAACTGGTCAATGCTTGGAAAAAGGTGCTTATTTATATCCATTATGTTGATGAATACCGGGGCAACACGCGCTGGTAATTTATATGGAGGGTTATCAGGAAAAGGAGGATATACAAGAATAAGCATGCTAAGCATGAACAGAACGTTACGTAATTTGAGTAGAAGAGGGATTATTGAAACTCTCTCTCTCTCTCTCTAACTCTCTCTTTCTCGAATGCACTCCCTCTCTCTCTCTCTCTCACTCCTTTGTCACAATACTAAACAGTAAAATCTGATTTATTTCCAGGAAAGCATTTAGTATACTAACGTGCGAACGAGGACAACCATCACGGCTCAATTAGCTTCACTCCTTCTCATTCATACCTCCTTCTATTTTTCTCTCCTTCTTTCAAATCATGTATCATTTTTAAACACACGGTATAAAAAGGGATGCCGGTACAAACCTTTTTAGAGTAAGGAGGTACATGAATTGTGGGTGGTGTAACATGACCTTCATTTAGTTATTATATCGCTCACGCTCAATTGAAATTTTCTCCTATTTATTTCATGAAGTAATATAACTAAAACATTTAAGACTAATAACAACAGTTAATAGGCTATGTAATAGTTCTCAAGACCATCTCTGGAAGTGCTAACGTTTCGGGATAACCTGTGCTCAAGCACAGTTCTTCACCAAGCGGAGGAGGAATTCATGAAGAAGAAGACAAAGAAAAAGAAGAAGAAGAAGAAGAAGAAGAAGAAAAAGAAGAAGAAGAAAAAGAAGAAAAAGAAAAAGAAGAAGAAGAAAAAGAAGAAAAAGAAAAAGAAGAAGAAGAAAAAGAAGAAAAAGAAAAGAAGAAGAAGAAAAAGAAGAAAAAGAAGAAGAAGAAGAAGAAGAAAAAGAAACTGATAAACCAATATTTTCAAGATTATCCAAACGGAGACACACAATGGATATGCATATAAACTTGTTTTTTCAATTTCAAAATAGATATTTGATATACCAAAACAAATCCACAGCAACAGCATAAAACAGCTTCATGTGTTCACAAGTCCAGATATACACAGATGGAAAAAAATACAAGAAATTCAAGATAACTTAGAATACAACTGTTTACTTATCAAGTCATTCTTTGTTCAGATGTTTTTAATGAAAGATTATAGGTTTATTTCTTTCTTCCTTCAACCGGAATTTCATTCCTTTATCAATCTCATTAATATGTATCCGTCAATTCGTATGCAATTCGTATGTAATGCTCCCCAGGGAGTGGAGAATGTGCATGTATTGTGTGCGGGTAAGCCTGAATCCGATGACCGGGGTAATAATATGATTGCAAGGCCCTCAGGGAGAACAGTATGAATACTGATGAGACTGATTATTATTATTATTATTATATGAATATGATTATTGTTATTTGGGCCTCCTCAGTTATTTGACGGGGTAGAGGATTTTCAAAAAATGGTATAATATAGAACTGTGAAGAGCCCTATTTTGTTTAGATCGGCTCAACCTGTATATTCTCCTTAAATACACCAGGATTAAATTGAACCCTGGACCCTACACTATTCCGGATCTAATCCCTAAACCTAGCCCAAAACCTAATTGCAACCATAAACCTAGGTATATATCTTTGAAGAAATAACACCTTGAGCAATTGACTCACGAGCATATGACCGGTCACCAAATTATGACTTTTTGTCAGAATTGTACGTGACTTCCAATTGTAGCTAAAAAGAATACAATGTACTCAGATTAGATATAGTCTATGTACACAAGTCCCAACGTAAACATAAATGAATGAATAGATATATACGGATAAATAGATACGTAAAAAACAATAATGATAGTAAAAATGACAACGATAAAATATCAACACTACTTATAACAATATTGATGATAATAGTAATTTTAATGATATTGTGCAGTATTAAGCAAGGTTTTGCAAAGGTGTTTCGGTGTGGAACTTAGACTACGGATCATTAAATTGAGGTCGTTTTACCAAAAACAAAACTAGACAATCGTCACAATAGGATCGTCGGATTCCTGAAATAACACAGCGAGGCTTCCTATTGTGTTGGGAGGGTTAGCATAGCGGGGGCGTTATGGAGTGGAACGCGGTCACACGAGTTTACTTTCAAAGGATTGGTACCAACACATATGACAGAACTGAGATTTAAAATATTAACAAATCGTCGCGTTCACACACACAGGCGAGTCTATGTTTCGATTTGTGTATTACTAGCTCCCATTAAAAGTGATATAAATACTATTTGAATAAATCGATATATGAATGAACAATTCCGTGAGTTAAACAAAATCATGAATAAGTAAGTAAATAATGAATATATAAATAAATGTATAAATAATTATATAAATAACCACTCAATAGATTAATAAACAAACGAATCGATCAAAAGAAAATCGGTGAATCAACAGATAGACATGTACAGGACTGGCTACGTTGATTAGACAGCTTAACAACAAGAAAATATTGTCAGGATATCACTTACACATGTTCTTCTATGTTGCATGACTACTAATAAAGCAGGGGTATGACATTGACGACTATTTGGAAGAAGGGGGGGGGGGGGGTCGTTGTTGATATTTTTCCTGCGGCCCCATGACAAATATCAAAACAAAATATTATCACCAATAAGAAGCGAAGCAAAATCATTTATGCTATAGTCTGCCCTAAAAAGTACTTAAATATACCTGTCGGTTTATTTTCGAACTACATGTATCATACTTGTGTCAAAAAGGAGTTACAATAATAAGAATACCACAATACCTTTTGAACCTTTTAAAAGATTCTCAATTAGATATAACTGACATCCGACAAACATCATAGTTGACTGAACTATATAAACGACTGACACCCTAAAACACCCCGACTGTGACACGTGTTTGAATTCCTAACCCAAGTTTGAACTCTGGCCATGCAAACTTGGTATTTATGCTTATTTTTCACAATAATTAATCATCAAAAGGGTAATGTGTGACGTCGAAATATGATAACTTATAATTATTAGCAACCCCACTGACCTTATTGAAAATGCACTGAAATCGTAGGCAATATATAGAGTGCCAATTTTTGGAAGATATAACAGTACGATTATGAAGGTATTTCCGTTGCATCGCTGAATGGTCTTTGATGTATACATGACAACAAACTAAACAGATAAGGCCTATATATTTTTTTTAATATAAAATTACTCTTAACATGACTTGATGTTCTCCCTCTAAATTGAGATCCTCATTAGACAGGTTTAAGCGTAAATCTGCAGTTAATGGATATATTCCCTAAATTTAAATGAATATTTCAAATAAGTACATGTACCAATTTAATATGTGTATCAATTTCTTCAGACTTGAACTATTTAGCCTTGCGGGTATGTATTTACGTCCTATTTTTGTTTTCACGTTGTACATAGCCCTGTTTTAGTGTATTTTTAAATATGTTGTCTATATACTTGACTTGTACCTTTCCGGGTCTTTACATATGTGAACGTTTCGTTTTTACTCCCACCATAAACGCATAACTGTGACACCAAATATGCAAGAGTATCTTCGTTAGAATGCGGAAGTGTTATATGACAGGGGTGATGTGGACCTTTAACTTGAGCTCCTGGTGAAGTCATAAAGAAAGAAATAGGGAGAGAGAGAGAGAGAGAGGGGGGGGGGGGGAGAGAAAGGGAGAGAGAGAGAGAGCGAGATCTATCCTCGGGTCACGGTAGGGTTCAAGGGGAGCTTACGTTTATCTCATTTTCAGATTTATTCTGGTAAACTTACGATTAGCAACACGAACGCTACACTTTAACTGACACAATATGCTGCATGAGAGCGAGAGAGGTACTTTGGCTGAAAATTGAGAGATTAATGAAAGGTTAAGACCAGTATTGGAAACGCCCCAATTTCAAAAAATGAAATGGAAGCTTTTATTACCAATCATGTGAAAGAATATGTTTTGACTAATACATGATGATACAAATTTTGCCAGGAAACCGCCTACTAATTGATATATTTGGTAAATTAGTTTATCTACATGGTCTGTGAGAGATAAACGCACGTGTGCGTATAGTCCTATATACATCTTTCTGTGTACAGTGCTTGTAACTTTACGAAGACTGGGCCATATATCTTATCATTTTGATGAATCCAGAACCTTGCAGTACACACCAATACTATTATGCTAGATGATCAACCTTTTCTGATCGATTCCACAACGTTTCTTTCACAATGCAATCGCATGATCATAACTGGTCTTTACCTTTAAGTGATGTATCTTTTTTTTTCAGCTTAAAATGGCCAACCCGATTTTAGGACAGGCACAAAACAAAGGAATATACGCCATGCTGGGAGCAATTTAAACAATGTTGGTCAAACCCTCCGGTTATTGGTATAGTGTATAAAATTGAGTTAACATCATTTTGACTGTAAGCAAGTGTAAAACAGTCCTTTATCAGACTTGCTCAAGGGCCTTTAACGGGTTAAGGCTCACATAGAGAAAAATAGACCTACATCAAAATAAACATTTTTCCACAGGTACAATGCAGGCTAAATGTTAACAAAAGGAACAAGGCGAGACGATATTACCCACAAAGTGTTTTTACTTGTCAAACTCGACATGAGTCATGTCAATATATTTTCTACTCTTTCCTGAAAGAGTTTATATTAATTTGACAGGTTACTAATACTATTTAATGCCGGTGAATCTGATAAAGGAGAGCTTCGATACTTTATCTGAATTATTATTCTCTCTTGATTTAAAGGTACTATGTCCCATTTGCAGGCCCAAAAAATGAAAAAGTTAAATTTGAATTTTGCAAATTTGCATGTGAAAGATAATACTAATTTAGAACTTCCCTAAGAAAGGTGGGGCTTGAAAATGTCTTCAAGTGGGAAAATAACGACTATTAGTGTCAAATCGACTTTAGGGCTATAGAGCCCAAAAGTAATAGTCTTGATTTTCAGACAATTGTACCGAATGGTC